CGATGACCAGGTTGGCCAAGGAGCAGCGGAGGGGGTTTGCGATGACTGGGCTGTGGTCAAGTTTCTTCGTAGTACTTGGTTTGGTCACTCTGACGCTGCTCTACAACGAATATTTGATTTATTACGTTGTAATTTACGGGATGTGCTCGTGGCCTGTACTTGCACCGGCACGCCATCGGCTCACCAAAGTGCTCCTGCTGACCGATACGCATTTGCTCGGACCGTACCGTGGACATTGGTTCGACAAATTGAGAAGGTTCAGTTCGTTTCAAGTAATTTTTTGCTTCACATTTTTTTTTGAATATTTTTTACTAAATTTAATTTCGCGTAGAATTTCATTTTAAATATATTTTTATTTTTTCTTAAATTGTTTGTTCCGAAATATGTATTTTGATTTCGAATTTTTCAAGTTCTGAAAATTCAGGTTTTTTTTTTTCATTTTCATATTAAATTTGGTTTTAGATGTAAATTTAATCTTAATTTCTAAATTTAGCATTTTTTTTCGCTTTTGCACCTTGAATCTCATTATTACAAGTTTAGTAATTAATCTTGAACTTGTGAAGTGACACCTAGCCTAAATACGCCGACAGTGAGAATTGGAATTTTGAAATTAGAATTGGAATCCAAATTTGATCTGATCATTCGGGGGTGAGGGAGGGGAAGGGTGAGGGAAGGGACTGGAAAATTTAAAAGTTAAGAATAAAAGTGAATTGATAGTGATTAAAAGAATAATAAAATTAAAGCGGAAAATTACAGCCCATTCAGAAAAGAAGATCGGAGATAAAGGGCCAATCTGACTGTCATTTGCAAGAAGACATGTTAGGATGCAGTTTGTGTTTCATCCCTTAGCTGTAAACACAACTCGGACGCAGCGCGCGGGGCAGGAGTGTGAATCATCAGTACAGTGCGCTACCAGCCATGTTTTTGATGGGCGTGTATCTAACTGCGTAAGAGCAGAGAGAAGAAAAGACTAGGGAAAAGAGGCAGGAACGGCGTGTGTGCAGTCGCATAGGTTCCATTTCAGTGTCACAGTTGGACTTCGTCAGTACAATGGTTTTGGCATTTTTCCAGTAATTTATCTAAATTCGAAGTAAATTTATCAAGAAATGGATAAGTTAGTTGATAGAAATGTGAGTGATTTATTAAAAAAGCATAAAAATATCAAGAAAAAAAGGCATGGGAATATTAAAAAAGCATAAAAATATTAAAAAAAAGCATGAGAATATTAAAAATATCAAGATTTTTAATACTGATGTGAACTGTGCTAGTATCATCAAAATCATAAAAATGTCAAGGAAAAAAACATGAGAATATTAAAAAAGCATAAAAATATTAAAAAAAAAAAGAGATATCAAAAATATCAGGATTGTTGATATTGGTGTGAAACTTTGCTAGTATCGTAAAAATCATAAAAGGATCAAGAAAAAAAAGCATAAGAATATTAAAAAAGCATAAAAATATTTTTAAAAAAAGCATGAGAATATTAAAAATATCAAGATTTTTGATATTGATGTGAAACTCTGCTAGTGTCATAAAAATCATAAAAATATCAAGAAAAAAAGCATAAAAATATTAAAAAAAAAGCATGAGAATATCAAAATTGTTGATATTGAAATAAAATTTTTGCGAATAGCTTAGTAATCGCTGTTTAGTAAATATCGGTATTTGAACTTTTTTTTTTCAGAGAATGGCAGATGTATCGATCATTTCAAACTGCTATCTCACTTATGCGACCCGATGCTGTCTTTGTATTAGGTCGGTGATTTTTATAACTTATTACATGAATTGAAATGACTTGTACTAAAATTGTGTCTGTGTATTTGTATTTCTGTGTGTATGTTTGCACATATGTGTGTATTTATTTATGTGTGTATGTACATATGTCTGTGTGCACATGTGTATATGTGTGTGCATTTACGTATGTATCTATGTATGTATATGTATGTGTGTACGTATGTTTGTGTGCACGTATGTATGCGTGCATGTTTGTATGTGTGTGTATGTATATATATGTATGTATATATGTATGTATATATGTGTGTATGTATGTATGTATGTATGTATGTATGTATGTATGTATGTATGT